AATGTCCATAAAAAAAAATATTGATTGAGTGAAAATGTTTGAAGTTTTAATACAATATCCCTGGTACATTGTTCTTGTGAAAAAAAAATATAATAATCCATAGGCACAATTTTTGTGAATAAATGTTTGAATTTATAATGTTGATAAAAAAAAACGAAATCTGCATACTTTTTGTAATTAAAAGTCGATAAACATTCACACATCAATACTGTTCGTCCATGTTGTACTTACCGTAGCAGTTTATAATTTGGACTCGCACCTGTGTTAGCTAATAGCATAATAATAAAAAAAAATAATACAAATATAATGCGAAAGAAGGAATATATATTTGGCTGTAGTCAATTTGCACCAAAATTGACTCAAAATATATACAACAAGTGTAATTTGCACCAAAATGTTTGATATGCGATTATAATTTGCCCAAAAATAAAGATATGTAATTTGCATCACTCACAGGTAGTAAGAAATAGGAATTGTAATTTGCACCAAAATTAAAATCTATTATTTTTTCGATAGTATCTCAACAATACAATACTAATAACACAGAATTTTAGGTTTTAGATTCTGAGCCGTTATTTGTTACTTACACCGAGGTCTAAACGGTACTTCAGTATTGACCTCAATGCTACCTTATAAAAGTAGTCAATAATTTATAATAATAGTTAAATAATTTCATTATTTTAGGCAAAAAAATATAATTTTAAACAGGGCTTTGCACCCAAATCCGTAACACCCCTAAAAACTCTTAAAAAATCAAACACCAAAAAACCCATATAACCCGAATAATTTTTTTTTAAAACATTCGAATTAACCAAAACCCGAATAATTTTTTATTTTACAATCTTTATGTGACATATGATGGTCTTCTACGAATCACCGAGTCGTTATTTATTGCAATACTGTAAGTCTGAAATAGAATTGATGTCTCGCGTATGATTACCTAAATTGTTATTCGCGTATTCGTATTTGTTCAGTGTATGGTGTGAATTGTCAATTTTTGTTGGTGTAATAATTTGTGGGTAATTAACATTTTGGGCCTTACAAAATTATTTTTTACATACATCTTTAACATTACTATCCAATAATTAAAATAAACAGCTTTAATAATAATCAAATATTAATTAATAAATAAAATCATGTTTATTGAATTTTTTTTATTTACAAGAAAAAATTAATTAATAATTATATTACTTATTTCTATTTTTTTCAAAATAATTTTATTATTATTAGTGTATGTAACACCTACAACTTAATGTATATTATATTTTATAATGACTTTTATCCTATAAATTCATAAATAAAATACAGGTATCGTTAAATAAATAAAAAATACAGTTTTCCGTTTTCACAGGGCCCCTTAAATTAGTGAGGCCTCAAGGCGGGCGCCTACTCCGCCTAATGAGTGATCCGCACTGTCTATATCCTAAGATAACTTTAGTATAGTTTTTATTTATAAAAAAGCTGAGTTTACACACAGATTGTTTTAGGTTTAAATAAAACTTTATTATTATGAATATAAAAAAAAGTTAGCCAGTTTAAAAATTTATATGTAAAATTAATAAAAACAAATGTAATCATATGTAACATTTGATTTGTCAGATTTTTTTTTATAGCACTTTATGTGTCACGGTTAAATGAAGATGGGATAATCTGGAAATAATAATTTTTAATTGAAATAAAATAAACTTAGGTACCTATAAATTTATTATCATGAAACTGGAAGACTAAAAGGTTAGCTTAGTATTTGATCAAAACAATAAACTGATATATATCGCGAATACGACCAATAGTTGGACGTCAAACGTCAAAATATTATCAAATAAAGCGAAAAATCCAGAAAAATCATTATTGTCATTTGATTGTAATTTGGACGTCGACGATGATACCGAGGAATAATCGAATATTATAATATCGAGTAATTGATTATTAATCAAATAGATACTCATTTTGATGTGGGTTACAAATTCTACTTTCGACTACCTTTAGGTGGTGCAAATTACGAACTCCCATATATCTTACGGACACTAAATAATAATTAAAAAATAATAAAAAAATAATAGTAAAACAATTTTAACACCGTGACAAGGTGGGGTAGAATTAAAAAAGAAGAAAAAAGTCAAATCTGACCTGATAAACGCAGCAAACAAAACGGTCTGCTTGTTCTTGAAGTTGACGGTGGATTACGAATAGACGGCGCAAAAATAAACGATGGCGTATAAAGTCTGCACCCGTAGAAAAAAATGCCCGTACTGTAAACCGTCGAACGGTCCACCAAAAACTGACTAAAAAATTCTTTGTATTCGTGACGGAGCTATCAAACGAAAAGGAAGACAAACTAGTACCACAAGACAAATAATACAACCGAAGAGAAACCACTCGGTGACTAGAACAGACCTTTCAGACACCGACATAGTTACCAACGGCTGCGTGCTTGCGTGTGTAAATGTCGGAATGCCAACCTGACGAACCAACCGTACGGATGGGGTTTTGCCATCTCACTTGGCTGACTATGTTCGGGAATAAATACTTTGGAAATAAGACTTGAATAAATAGTATATTGTACTAGAGAAGTTGCTTTTTCCAGTCGACCAAAATAAAACCTTTACTGGAGCAGCACAATAACATTTGATAAGCGTATGAAAATTATATTTTGATGAAATTGGGTGTTTCCATCCGACCGAGTTTCATCCTTTTTAATAGTAAAACTATTAATATTTATAATTTTAGTATTATACGCAAACATTTTTTTTAAATAAAAAATATGTTATAAATATAAAATAAATATATAGATATATAATTAATATAAATATATAGTTTTTTATTTTGAGGGGCCACTGAGAAAAAAACTGTAAATCTATTGACCTCCCGAACCTTGGGTTCACTTTTGGGCTATACATACATTGTACAAATAATTGTATACATAGCCGTTATAAAATTTAAAAGTTGAATATGTTACAAATAATATTTCTACATTGACAAACATTTTATAAAAACAACCATTTAAATAATAAGTAAATATTTGACTATTTATTTTTTTGTAATCAATATTTTTAACAATCAAATTAAAGGATAAGCACTGCATATGTTTTTACGCAATTGAGTTCAAAAATAATAACTATACTATAATATAATAGTCACATATATTAGGCATTCACCCTTGGTTCATCCCTGTATACCCTTCCAGGCGTGTAATGAGAATTTAATTAAAAAAAAAAAAATGTTCGTAAATAAATTAAATTTAGTGAAAAATTCTTTATTTTTCACAAACAATAAAATAATTTTTAACTGTAGAAGAAATATATGTAAATCATCTTGATACACATAAATAATAAACAATTTGATTTTTAGTCTCATTAGATTACACAATATGTTGAAAGGTAAAGTATACAGAAAATGATAAAACTATTACTTAATGTACATTACTTAACTTTTATGATATATTTATTATGATAAAAACAAATTCCTAAATTTAATAACTTACTCTATTTTTTAACCCAAAACCAATGTTCCAGTCAAACATTTAAAATATTTTTCCAAAATATTTAAAAAGTAAGAAATTTAGAAAAATGTATCACAGATTTAACACACTGTAAAGGAATTTGATAGGTGCATAAATTTACAAAATAGTTATACTACAGAAAACATTTATTATTATAGGTTTCTACATTGGTCCATGAGAATGTGTAAAAGTAGTATTTAGATAAAATACTATTTTATGACTAGAATGTTAACATTACTTACATAGTGTTACATGTTTTTTAATGAATAATAAACTAAATGTATTTTACAATTTTTAATACATTTAAAAATGTCAATTTTACAGTTATTCTAGTTTACATAATTCATAAACTATTATCACTGAAGTATTAAAAAATAGGCAAGCTTGACACAATTCTAATTATTCTAAGTTGTTTTAAGTATTATACACAACCTATATATGTAAATAAATTGAAAAAAATACATTTATATAAGCTAGATGAATTATTTTGATTTTATGAATAAGACAAAATGTTCAAATGTTCAAAAAATATAAGTGTAAGTAACAAAAATTACAAATAAATTATTAGATTAATTTTATTACATCTGTGACTGATCTACGAGTAATTAATATTATACAAATGTGATTATACATTATAAGTTTATAGGAGATATAACATTAAAAAAAAACATGTATTTTTAAGTATTAAAATAAAATATAAATTTTTGGTAACTAAAACACAAACTAATGGTAATTTTATTTATAACAATGATGAGAAAAACACTTAATAATAATAAATAAAAACAATATTATACATACACAGTGTAATTATAATTAAATGTAATTTAATTTAATAAAAAAAAAAAATTGTTTATTTGTGTATTTGTGTATTCAGTGAATTTTCATTGCTTTAGTTTAAATATTTTGAAATGTTAATTATTATTGATTGTGTTATTGTTTTACATCAAAATCATATAAATAATAATATTTATAACATTTTTTTTTTAAGTTATAATCATAACACATAGTTTAAATATAACTTTAATAATACATTAATGTATTAATAATTTTATTTTCATTTTAATAGTGGCTATTGACAATTTTAATATTAATAGCTATAGTTAACTATTTATGATTAAATTAAGTATTAATTATTTTTTATATTGTTAGTAATAATTGTTAGATTGGAAAATATACTATGATTAAACAAATAAGATTTCATATTATATAAAAATAAATTTTAGTAATTGCTAAATTACATAATTATATCTAAAAAATTCCAATTTCTCAGAAAACCATAAAAAATATAGTACTACCTTTTTATTAACTTAATACGTTTTGAAAATGTAATTATAATTATCAAATTTCGAAATATTTTTTAATTGATATATGATAGAAAATTTCCATATAAATTACTAATTAATTTTAAATAACATATAGCTAATGAAATTATTAAATCTTCATTAAATTAAATTAAATTAAAATATAAGTATATAATAAATCAATACATTAATGTGACTAGATCTAATAATTTATAACACAGTAGCATTTAAAATAAATAAATAATGTTTTACATAGAGCATTTAAATATAGTAACCTAATTAGTGGATCAACTATTTAAAATTAATTTGTCTTATTATTCTATTAATAGAGACAATTATGATCCTAATCTATGTGGCTTAAAGTATACCAAATTGTAAGGGTAAAGCTGACAGCTAATAATATTAAAATAATAAAATACATTTATTTTACAATAATATTTTGGTTTCAAACAGTAAATAAAAATAAATTAGTAACTATTTTTCAATGTTACATTTTACTTTCTATATTTTACTTAAATGTTTATAACAACAGAGTAATATCAAGAAAATGTTTACAACTAGACACATTGAAACTATTATATTAACTACTGTATTTGAATCTAATCAACATAAAATCCAATATTTCAATGCAATTTACAACATGGCACTTTTTACTTCCTCCAAACAATGTGCTGCTTCTTTTCTTCCTTCGTCATAATGATGTCTTTTAGCATTTTTCATACCTTCCATACAATTTTTTTCTGCTTCTTTAAATAATCCTTGTTTAAGATAGATATTACCAAGGTTTATATACACTGATGAAAAATTTTCCATGTCAGGGAGATGTTGCCCAATTTTTGCTGCTTTGTTTAAATAATTTAATGCTTCTTCAACATTTCCTTGAATGTAGCTAAGAGTGCCAAGATCATTCAACAAGACAACGTTCATTTCAAATATCTCACCGTTTAATTGCACACAGATTTCATATGCTTTATGAAAATGCACAAATGATTTCTTTGTATGTCCTTGATTCAATAAATAACGTGCATATGCATCCAATGATAAAGAGTATAAACCTAAAACATTTTCATTTTCTGGATCTTTATGATATAACTCCTCTAAATGTTTAAGACAGTATTCGTACCCAATTTCACATTTGCTGAAAAATGTAAAATAATACAATTAAAACTCTACAAAAATAGTAGAGTATATAATTAACAACAATATGGAAAAATATTTTGAAATTAAAAAGTTTATCTATATATATAATTTAAAAAACAAAATTGGTTACATAGGAAATATTTTTTTATTTAATATGTTTATTTTGATAATTGGAAATTTAATTATATATAAATCAATATAGTATAAATAAATGAAAATAAATATACAATTGTCCACTTTTTTCAGCCTACATTTTATTTACATTGAAATATGGTAGTTATTATTCTTGTCTAAAATAGTAAAATATCTCCCGCATAATGCAGCTAATTCATTTAAAATTCCATTTGTTTTGAATAAATATTGAGCTAAAAGTAATATTTCATTCTTTAATTATTGTAATTATTAAACAGAAATTATTTTATTACAGAATATGTTAATAGTTAATCAATAATACCATAATTAGAACAAAGGTAACTATTTATAATATTTATATTTTATATTTATTTTAAACATTATTGTATTTTATTAATAAATAATCACTTAAATTGTTTTTAGCTATTTATGAAAGAAATAATTTTCATTAGTATTTAAAATCTACCTGAAATTATTTTGAGCTTCATAAATTTTAGCAAGTTTAAGACTTATATGTAAAATGTTAAGATCATTTTCACGGCCTCCTTTGGACATTAACCGTTGCATGACTGTTACAAAAAGCTTTTCTGCATTTACAAAATCCTTTTTCATAAATGCTCCATTTGCTAAGACATCATATACATAAGTTAAGCCATCAAAATTTTGTAAATCATACGCTATTTTGAGGGCATCGTGTAATGTTTGTTCAAAAGCTTTATAATCATCTTTCTATAACACATAAAAATAAAAAAAAATAATGAAACCATAGGAAAAGATAAAGCCATTTAAGTATTACATTAAGGTAATTAATACCAAATCATGTTAAGTTATTAAATTGAAGCAATGATAATATGAATGATATAAAATATATAAGTATATAATTTATATATTTTAAAATATATAAATATATAATTTATATGTACATTAAATAAGCTATAAAAAATATATATAAATCATGGTAGGAAGATATATATGGCAATCAATTTGGAATTGATTACACCTATTCACTTTCGGGATGATATAATATTTATACATTCGTATATTAAACTTATTAATTATAATTTAAAGTCTTCACTTTACACTGGTTATTAAAAATAATTCAAAGTGGTATAAATATATATACATATATTCTAAGAGATAATAAACAAATTTAATTTACTATACCTATTTAATGTAAACAGCATTTATAAAATTAATATAAGTAAATATTTAGCAAATTATTATTTAAAAAAATTATATTTTACTTGTAAATATAATAAGCCTCTTTTTATGGTATCGATAAGCTTCAGTTCTGAATTTATATCATCGTCAAGTCCAAATAAACCAAGTAATGAAAATCCAAAAACTACTGATTTTCCAGTAGTTGAATATTTCAGCAGAGAAATGTATCGAATAGAAGTCGGTATACAATGGTTTGGTTTAAAAATGGTTTTAGGTGGATAAATATTTTTAAATGAAATATTTTTGTGTTTAATGATTGGCAAAATTCTTTGCAAATGTTTAACTAGACTAGAATTCAGTAAAAGAGACATTATTTTTATTAAACTAAGCAACTGTACAGTGATTTTAAGTTAAAAATTTGAACATTTAACTTCTGATTTGTATTGTTTTTTTCATACAATATTGTTCTTAATACCTACAATAAATAGTAGGTACCTATTACAACTTGTTTGTTAATAATATGAAATGTAATATAGTAATATGACAAGCGATAATGTTATCAAAACTTAAGAGTCACAATTTGATAAACTTTCATTTGAGATAAGCATGAATGTGATAAAATATTTACTTTGAAAATTGATATAAATGCTTTGTTCCACGAATATCTTAATTCGAAATTCTTAATATCTTAATTCGTGCTTTGCATTGAGATAGAAAATAATATATTTTTATCTATCTTATTGTTGCTAAGTATTTAATTTAAAAATATTCCAAATGCGTCCTTTGTTCAATTATCTAAATGAATCTAAATTATCTATGATTTTTTTTTAAATAATATTTAAATAGATATTATTTGTATGGACTATGGACTATATTATAGATAATATTGAGCTCCTGTTAATAATCATGTTTCTTTATTTTTATTTTTTTATTTACGAAAAAAGCTCCATTTACAGAATAATCTTTATATTAATACATTTATGTTAAACATATTATGTTCAAGTCTATAGAATATTGAATTAAAAAATTATATTTTTTGAGTAGAATGATGTTTAAAATCAAGTGGTATTAAAGTATTAGTTTGTGTAAGTTTTCTGTAAATATAAAATTTCATTTTTTTATCTATTATGGAAATTTTAAGATCTAAAAAATTAAATTTATTATTTGTTTGTATTTCGAATGTAAATTAAATGTTTTTATTTATTTTGTTTAAATATTTAAATTTAATATTAATATAATAAAATGTATTTAAATTAATTATTGTGTACTTACATGAACTTAAATATAATTGTAATGTATTGTGTACAGGACCGGCGAAACGGGGGGGGGGGCGAGTAGGGCCTTTGCCCGGGGCCTCGCGTTTTTATAAGGACCTCGCGGATCGAAATTTGTATATAATAATATAAATATACCTAGACACCATTCTTATAAAAGAGCCTCGCGGTATATTTTGCCCTCGCAAACATATTTTTATTTGCTAAATAATAAATGTTGAAAAGTTGAATATTATATAAATAATTGTTGTACCCAGTGGCGCACGCATGGGGGGGGGGGTTAAGGGATTGTAATTCCCCCGAAATTTTCTCCGATTTCTAGGTTAAAATTTACATATTTTAGAAGTTTGAAATATGAAGAGCTAGTATTGAATACCTAGTATCCCCCCCGAAAAAAAATCCTGTGTGCGCCACTGGTTGTACCTACATAACTATAAACGCCTTCAACAAGCCGAGTTGAGCTTTCACTGGACCGGACTGAACTGGGGATTTTATTAGAGGAATAGTAAGTTCCTACACGAGAATAGCAGGTAAACAATTACATACGTTAGTTCCTACACGGACATATGTAAGTTCCTACACGGTTAAAATCAGGTACGTATGTCAGCTCCTATATGGTAAAAACTAGGTACATATGTCAGTTCCTACACGGCGGAATAATTAAATATGTATATAAAAATCATCAAAAAAACAATATATAGAAGTGCCACAGCACCAAGAGACGTATCGTTATACTGGGTTATTTCTTAATGAAACTTTGAAATATTCAAATCAGTGACGCACACAGGATTTTTTTTTTTGGGGAGGGGGAGGTCAAGGTAAAAATATAACACATTTTCCAATCAACAAAATTATGCAAATCCTTAATATATTTTGACTTAAATAATAGCATTGATAATAGAATAGACTATTCTATAATCAATGATATTAGGTATTCAATACTATATTCATATTTCAAACTTGTAAAATTTGTAAATTTTAACCTAGACATCGGAGAAAATGTCGGGGGGGTTACAACCCCTTACCCCCCCTGCGTGCGCCACTGATTTAAATACTATATCAGAGTATAGTATTGTATAGTATATATTTAGAGCAGTAGTATATTAGAGTATCTGAAAAATGTATACGAAATTACGGAAAAATACAAGCTACAGGCTGATAATAGTATCCCGACTCTATGTAGGAAAGATAAAATATCTTATCATTACAACATTTCATTACGGATAAAAATGAATTGGTTTGATAATCTTATAACTTGTTATAACCATACACCGTAAAATGTGCATCTAGCTTAAAAGTATTGTTAGTATTGTTCGAATTATCCGTGTGTCCGTACATATCCGTATATATCAGTCACAACGAGCGAGAATGTATCATTCATGTTGAGTAGAAAAGGCAAAAAACTGCTAGTTTTAAATGATTTTAAATTTTTTAATCATCATACATCTAAAAAAAATGAAAATACGAGGTGTTGTGTTATATTATTTTTTTTTACCTAGTTTTTACTGTGTAGAAACTTACATATGTAGCTTTTTCTATCGTGTAGGAATTAATGTACGTATTTTTTGTACCTACTACTCTCGTGTAGGAATTTACATTCGTCCTTTTATTATAATGATGAGGATAGGGTGGGCTTTATTATACAATTTTAACTTTAGGATTGCTTGGGTTCCATGAATTAAAACAGTGGAAGGCTCTAATAAGCCTGGTTTTTCATACTAAAATATGGACCGGAATGGGCTTAAAAAAATCGGCCCATGCAGAGCTCTAATGTATACATATTATATACCTACGCATAATATTATTATGTGCATATAGATATGCACAAACAGGACAAGATTTAATGGGTTGGGGCGGGGCACAGTAAATATTTATACTCCGGTTGAAGATACTGTACTCTCGTACATTATATTTATATAAACATATATATATTGCGGTTGGTAATCACTTGGTGTAATCGAAAACCACAAGTGGAGTCAAGGAGGTGTATTCAACGAGGATAAACGATGAATCGTATGAAAAATGAGTCGAAAGAGTTCAATTTTTTCGTACAGTCACTTCGACTTCGCGATATTCGTATCCTTTACAATCCACTGTGGTTTCCGTTAGACTTTCCTGTACACACGCACACACACACACACATCGACGTCCTAGTTCAACTACACAGTTTTACTCGGAAGTAAAAATTTAATAATAACACGAGAGCATATTTTTATTTTGTGCACGAGACGTTATCACCGGATTTGAAAATGTCTTCTGACGACGTGTCACAATGAAGTGCGGTCGAAGTGTTCTTTATCTTAGAATCGTTATCTTTTTTTCGTACCCATTAACTCGCGTTCGTAATTCCTTGCCGACCTCTGAAACGGGGTGTCGAGCTACATTATGCATGCCTACTTATACATATATGTAAAACGTATTACGGAGTGAACGTGAAAGCTGTGAGCGCGGGGCGCGCGGACGATGACGTGGCCGAAGACGAAAGGAGGGACGACGGGACTCAACACAGGGGCAAAGTGTTTACGCACGTGCGGGGGGAAAAGGGACGATCGGCGGCCACCGAACAATGACCAAGAGGCAGCGGAGGGTGGTTATCGATCGGCGGCAGCGGCGGCTTTCGCGCGACCGAGTGGCGTATCCCACGTACGCGGCGCGAGTTCACCCCGCCGCCCGGCCTCCCCCGCGTACGTAACACGCGCGCGTCCCAGTCGCGTCCGTACGCCGTTTCCCCGGGATCTACGCTAGTCGCGCCGTACAACCGCCGTCGTGTGCTCGGCCGCCGCCGCCGCCGCCGCCGCCACTGTTACCGTTGTGCAGTTGCACGCGCGCGCACCGCACCAGCCGCTGCACACCAACACCGTAAGGGCACCACACCTTGCAGTCGTCGCTGCTAAACCGCGCCCCGACACGACAATAATGATAACACCATAACGACGACGACGACGACGACGGATCGCCCCCGATAATCTCGTGTTACCGTTGTACGGCCGGGTACGGTACGTACGATTTTGTATTACGTTTGCGTAGCGTCGCAACGTACGCCGAAACACGTAACACCGGCCGCGGTCGCGTCGCGTTATCCGCGTTGTACGACACGTGCGCGCTGCGGACGACGCGCGTAATATTTCCATAACCAACGGTACCGTGCCGAGATTATCATACCGTTGCCGTCGTCGGCACCGCAACGCCATGGCGGCGGCACTGCGCGGCGACGACCACCGTCGCCGCCGCCGCCGAAGTCCCGACCTCCTCGGCGCTCGGCCGTCCCGTTCGTCGCCCCGCCGCACGACGGACAGACGCTGCAGTCGTTACGCCGCCGCCGTCGCGCCGCCGCCTCCGCTGATGCCGCCTCCGCCGCACTGTCCGACGCGCCCAGCTGCCGTGTTCTTCCGACAGCCGTCTCTGTTCGCCGCCCGGCCACAAGTAACGTATGCACTATACGCCACCACCGATGCGCGCCGGTAAAACCTTAGGTCTTTCCAGCCATGCGAACGTCCAAAGCGTTGATGACACGGCGGGCCCCGATCGGTGCACCGTAGTCGATGAGCCCCTCCCCGTCCGGTACGACGTGGCCCTGCCGTTTTCTTCCGTTTCCATTCCCGCTGATGGTCGGACGTTTTTCTAAGTAACTTGCACACACCTACGAGGGATTGTTTTTTTCTTTTTTGCGATTCGACTTTAATCTGTTTCGACGGAAAGCGTTAAAGTGGTACTATTTCGAATGCATACAACCTATATTTTTAAGTCTTTTGCTTCGATCGGAACGTTAGAAATCACCTGCCAATAGATTTGTCTGAACAATACTGTATGTTTCTACGTTATTAACTGCTTATAGTATTCACATGTATATTTGTATGTACTGCAACTATAACAGCCGGTGGACAGATTTATATTTATAACGGTTGGAGCATTGAACTACATCAGCGGTCGCTAACCTTTTAGACCTCGCAAACCATTAATTTCATAACTCTAAATTCCACCGACCATTTAAATATTTTCTAGCTTATGCTGTAGGTTTCAGGTGTTCATACGTTTTCCTGTGAACCATCAATATTTTCTCGAAAACCACCGGTTGGTGACCGTTGGACTATATTATTTTTGTTTAATTAATTGTTTAATTATTATTCTTATTAATATGTTCATTATATTCAACACATAATATGTATTTCTGTAATGAAGCGATCATTTTAGTAATCAAATATTTAACTTCCCTGAGAGAGAAGTATGGTATTTTCCATCTGAGCCAATATTATAGACAAGAAATAGTATAGCATCATGTACTTCTTTAATATTTGTAACTCAATTTTCAAAATTGTTTAGTGATTAATCAGAGTAATTTATAAATACGTAATATTTTATTGAATTTAAAATTAGTATAAAAGTTACTGTAATTAGGTCACCTGTTGGATATTATCAATAACATTGTATACTAGAGATATGGTTAGAAATAATTATTGTTATTCATTTAAGTAATCATTTAAGGAGAATACAAAATTTTTTTTTTTATCAATTATACGTATACTCTATATTAAGACAAAGAAACTATTCATTTTAGAGCTGAGTTTTTACTTACACATTTTTCTAGACTCACTAATTTCGAAAAGTTTTAAAGGTTAAATTATAAACTTTTTTCTTATAGGTCATTTTCAAAATTCTCTTCGGTTTTTGAAGTATTTCTGAACGAAATTATTCAAATGTACCTATATATAAATAATAACAGTACTGTTTTAAATTTTTTTAGAAAATATTGTTTTATGATAATTTTGAACCATGATGATAAAAAAAAAAAAAGATAAAATACTTATTACGGTTTTTGTTAAATGGCTATTTGAATTTTAAATATAATTTATATTGTATACATTTATTTGTATATTATTTGTATATATATACAGTGGCGTAGCCAGGATTTTTAAATGGGGGGGGGGGGCTAACCACTTTTTTGGATAAGTAAGGTAAGAGAGGATATGAAAATTCACCCTTAACCCCCCCCCCACCATCTACCACCAAGTTTCTAAACGTAATTCAAGCATTTTAGTATAGTTTTAAAAATATTTATTAATATATAATTTATAATAATAATAATAATTTTGGTTTCAGTGTTCAGTCACTTGCTCCACTCTGACAGCTGCATCCTCTTAGGCGAATTTCTGGCAAATACAGTTATTATTTCACTTTCATTGAATTGCTCTTTTTTATTTATATTAGCTATAGCTAACCCATTCAATCTGTTTTTCGACATGGTGCTTCTTAAAAACAATTTTTAGCGATTAAGTGTTGAAAACGTTCTTTCCGGAGTGAAAGAGGTAACTGGTAACGTGGTGAATAATTGTAAAAGTATTTTAATGTTAGATCGAAGATTGGTGTGATGAGAGAGTGAATCAAGAGCAGAATTCGGTTTTGGAATAGTATTTTGACTTCATTGTTGCCTCCATATGAACAGGTCAGCTCTGATTGTAGATGAGGTATCATCATGGAGATCTTGGACATATATTTTAGCGCTTTTATAATATTTTTATCGTCATACATATTTAAATTGGCCAGAATAAGTCTTTCAAGTGGCATAACATCAATAATCCTTTGATTAAAACGAACATCCATTGATTCTATTAAATAGTCAAGATACATTATACA